GGAGTAATCTTGTTATCTGCAGTCCAGATGCACCTAACATTGAGTGGTTTAAAGAGGAGGTGGTCATCCTGTGATGGGTTTAAATGACATTAGCACAGTTGGGAATTATAAAATGAGATCTAGGAGAAATGGAGAGGGCTAGAATCATTCCGGAAACTAGTAAGTTGTGGTAATGGTTTTCAAGTGCCGGAACCCTCAGGAGGCAGGAAATTACAGCTAGCTCATTTTCCTTTCAATGGAGAACAGGCACAGAAGATTCCAATGTAGCTCTTAAAGAGGGAACTTACCAGAAGGGCTGTTGTATAACCTTAAAACATTCTGATTCTTGGATGGTGCAGCAGTAGAACAGACAGGCCACCTAAGCAGGAGCAAGGGCCAAATGGAAAAGTCCCTCTCCCTAGTGTCTACAGGTCTTCTGTGCACTGTTGTGTGCCTCCCTTGTTTTCTTACCCTTAGCCTTTAGTCTTCATTTCCCTCCCTGACTGGACTGTGGAGTCCAGACAAAAGACAAGAGATCTAAGAATGTTCACCCATTCCTTTACCCTGAGTGAGGACTTAAGAGATTAATGAATGTTCTGATTCTGAGAAAGACAAGCCAAACTCTTCATGGTTGCCATAAAAGGAGATTACACAATATTCCTTCAGAGGCCTTTATAAGTAGTTGCTGCATGGAGCAAATTGGAAAAGCAGGGCAGATTTTTCACAAGGGCTGGACCAGATGGCCTGTGCACGTGCTCTCAGAGTCCTCCCTAACTGTCAGTTCCAACAAATAAAAATCACTGCTGGGCTTCTGGTTTGGTTTCCAATCTGGGGAACAGAAAACCAGACTGTGATGATGTTTAAATATATTTCAAATCTCACTTTTGTGAGGGCAAGGTTTGTGGAGCTGTCTCTAGTAACATGAAAGGTGCCCATATGAGTATTTCTGCCTAGCACTGACACGTGGCCCCATCTGTTCACCTGACCATGGGTTAGTGATCTCTTTCTGAGGGATGAGTACTTTTAGATGTTGTGATGGTATCTACACTATCATCTGGATATTAATTCATGTCTCAGTTTAGTATATACAATCTTATAGATTTGATGTGGTGGCGCTTTGTGGTCCTTTGCTTCTTCTCAATGTTAAAAAATGGGCCAAGACTCAGAGGTTGAAAAATAAAAGCTAAAGGACCACTAAAGACTTTGTTCTTGGAGTCAGGAGGCTTGAGGTTGGCCTTGATCATCCCCTTGAATCCTGGATAACCTGAGAAAATGGTGTTTTACATAAAGCAATGTTACTCCACAACTTAGTATCTGAGATTCCCTCAGCAAGCCCCAGTGACAAACCATTTACTTAGAGTGATCAGACTATCTATATTAATACTTTCAATACTGAAAATATCTGCAGTATATTCAGGTTCATCACAAATTGGTCTCAATTTATTTTCTAGTTCTAATTAGGATTTCTAATTCTAAACTGGTGACAGAACTATTTCTTAAGTATGAAACATAATTAGCCACTGATATGAAATCATTTTTATCATGTCTAATTAGTATTTGTCTCAATGGCTTTGACAGTCTTTAAAGTATTTATTTATAAATGTGAGGAGGTAAGAGGACATATTTCCAAGAATCAATTCTCTTCCTCTACTGTGGGTTCTGGGTGAAGCCAATTGTTAGGCTTGCACTATGTCTTGCTGACCCAGCTTTGAAATTCTGAATGGATACTTGTGAACCAATGTTTAGTAACTCTATTATTCTCATAAAGGCATTTTTCTTGCTTAACAGTAGTTTTGAGACATACTCAAAGAAGCCAAGATTCCCCTATTTTGACCAAATTTCTTTGCCCCAAATCTTATACTACCAACTTCTGAATCTACCAAAGAAAGACCGTTAATTTGATGAAGTAAGTTTGAAAAATCAAAGTGAATCTTGGGAATTTGATTTCTCTTGTGAATTTGATAGGATCCTATTCTCTTCTCAGAATATTTAACCAATCCTCATAAGTTGAAAAGTTTGCAGAAATGAAAAGGAGAAGAACTTCTTTAACATAATGATGCTTCTAAGGAGAATCATTGAGTGAACTAGAGGTTAAAGACTTCATGAGGAGCAACCAAGGGAATGAGATGGTTCTTCAGACTTTGTGGATTAGTTCCTGCACATACACAAGTGCTCAGGCCTGAGCAACAGCACATACATACATAGCTGCACACGCCCACCCTATACTTACAGAGCCATGGAACTCGGACATTTGCCTAACAATATCCGGGGGGCCCCCTTCCCTCCTACACTTTTCTCACCATCCCATGGATGCCAGACTTCTGGCTGCTGCCTTGCAGAGGTGGAATAAACTCTATGAGATTGACTCAGCCACTACTTTTTAGGAAGGTTCCTCCACCTCCCCATTCTCACCATTTGGCTTTGAGGCAGAGAGGAAAGCCCACACCCAAGGGTGTCAGTGCAAATCATAATGGCATTCATCACATTTTCCCTAATTAAAAATTTGGCGTTTTAAATAACCAGGCTACTTCCTTCTCTGGACTAAGCTCAAATATTTTCATCTGAAGCACAGCTACAGATCTGGCTCTTCTCCTGCATCTTTTCAGCACACCATTTTCTCCCACTTTCTCCACATGAATACACCACACACACACACACACACACACACACACACATACACACACACACACACACACACACACTGTGCCTTTTATGCAATCAGTTGATAAGATTGATCTTTTCTCTGAATTTCTTTGATTTAAAATCCACCCACTATTTGTGGGAGGTAGCAGGCGATGGATGCAACGTGTGCTTGAGAGATGGGACTCCAAGGAGCAGCACAGAAGCAGCATCTGGGACAGGGTCTGTGCCTTTTCCGTGCAGTTTGGATATTGCTAAGATAAAGAGTGCTATGAAATTCAATGCACATTCTTTTTATTTCAGATCTAAACTCCTAGATCTTGAGAGAGCTGCCAATGTAATTGTTGCCTAATTGAACGGTGAGCAGACACTGTTCAAACTCCTTGGTGGGCCCTCCATTGCTGATGGTCACCCTATGTCTGGATGTCTTACTCTACATCCCCTTGATACTGCAATGTGACCCCCTTTGTGGCTACAAGATTCTCTCTCCCTACTTCTCTGAAAAAAGTCCTCTGAGGGGAGAAAAGGCCATTTCTAAAAAAGACAACATTCTGTCCATTTCCAATAATATATAGTCTTAAAAGAATGAAATTACAGAGATAGACGGCAGATTAGTGACTCCCAAGCACTAGTCACTGGAGAGAAATCAATGGGCTTAAAGCAATAGCTGGGAGAGTCCTTGTAACTGCGGAAACACTGATTCCACACTGTGGTGAAACCACATAGACACATCCAAATGAATACATGCATGGCTGGTGAAACTAGAAGCAATTCTATTTTACAAATCAGTTTTCAAGTTTTGAAACCACTGTATCATTATGCTACCACTGGAAATTTAATGGGTCATAGATATTGTCTGTACACTGAAAAAAAATCTTGAGCATCTGTAATTATTTTTAAAAGTTTCATGGTAAAATGCAGCTAGCTACAAACAGAAAGATTTGAAGTTCCTAATGGAATTTAAAGATTATTTTTCAGGTGTTAAATGTTGCTTTTGCAAAGAAAACTTTAAAATATTGCAAAGCCTATCTTCAGCCTCACGTACACTAACTGCAAAACATGTTTATGTAACTATATAGTGGGAGGTCATATTGTTATGGCTCAGATTTTCTCAATAAAATTGAGTCTATCAATATTTAAAGTATTATAGACCTAAAGCAATAATTTCAGAACAGGAAGAGGGGTTTGATAAATACAAATAGGTTGTTATATAATGACAGAAGCTCCAAACCGTGATAGGCATTAGCAGCTGTAATATTCTGAAAAGTTCCCTTAAAACAGAACAACTCCCAAACAAACAGGAAAAAAAAAAGTTAGTGAGGAAACCTGGCTTAATCTCTGATTAGCTCTGTGTGGGTTGAAAGGTTCATATACATAGGTATATCTGCCATGTGGAGATCTATCATATATGCTTGCAGAATTACCATAGGAAAAACTAAAACAAAGCAACTGTTGTGGATTACCAAAGCACAGGACTGTCCTAGATATAGACAGCCCCAGAGTAAATGTAAGGAAGAATCTCGTTACTCTGCTAACAGTAACATTTGAACAGCAGCATGTTCTTGTAGATTTTTTTTCCATGAAAGCCTTGAAAAAACTAGCCAGTTTGATGTAAGATTCATACACAGTTATTGTGTTACTATAATTATATTTGTAAAATTTAGAATCTTGCACACATATATTGTTTCTCAGTTCCTGGTTTTGTGGGGTCTTGATCTATGGTTGGTATTCTTAGCCTTAAAGACTTGAGACATAAATGTCACAATCACTATAGAAGCAGAAAGAAGGTCATTTATTTCTCAAGGTTGTAAGCAGGTCCTCAACTGTCAGAAAGTCCTGGCCCCTTACAGCAAGGCTGAACCTGAAAGAGTGGCTCTGCACAGTGAGTGGAGATCTGGACAGTTAGATGGCGAAGATGAAATCACTCCACACAGACAAAACCGCAGCTGGCAGCCTCAAATAGCCAGGAATTTGCTTAGTGCACAGCCCTACAATAGTGTGTCACAAAAGAAAAAAGTTGAGTATCTACTTCCTGATTATGGTAACTTCTCCCAGCTTGAAGCTAGTTCCTAAGCCCTGTTGGCTTCTGCATTTGAGTACCCAGTTCTGGTGTCGAGAAGGTGTGTAATGAATTATCACTGACTAAAAGAATACTGCTTCACTCCACAAAATTCCCATGACAATTTTTGTTTAGTAGACACTTCAGGTTCTGAAGGAAATGGTGAACAAGATTCCTGGATTCCCTCCATTCCCTCCTTCCCCCGGGAGTTCATGACTATTCCTAAGAGCTCCAATGTGGAAACCATCTTCAAGAGTAAGAGTGTTCTGATCATAAGCAATCAGTACCTTACTGTTCTCCTTTGTTCCACCAGTCACTCCCCGGATTATGTAGACGAGAGAGATGATCACCTTCCTTGTTGCACAAAATCATTTACTATTTATTCTTAACAATCACTCCATGCACTCATACTATATCCTAGATGAAACAGTGAAACAAAAACAAAATTCAGGCAACAAAAATATTGCCACTATTTTGGGCAAGCACATAATAATGTCCCAAGTCCTCTATAACCTAAGAAAGCTCGGCATATATATGGCATTATCTCATAATCTGTCTCATACATATCAGTTTGAGTAGAATTTAAAAGAGGGAAGCTGCATTCACACACACATGAAGCACCTGTCCTAGCTGGAGTGGTTCTGAATGAGAAGGAGTGGAAAAGAGTCATTTTGTTTAGTTACTACAGACTCAAGAGTGCTGAAGAACTCAGATGATTGTCAGTGAAGAGCTGTGCTTAGCTGGAAGGGAGGAGAGACATCCAAATGAGTGCTCCCCACACTGACCTTCTGGGGAATGAGACAGTTACAGTCCAATCCAAGTTTAACTGTGTTGACAGGAAACCTTAATAGAGAGCCCCTGACTGCAGAAGCCCACTAAGATCAAACTGCTTCATGACAAACCCCTGCAACACAATGATGAAGGTGTGACCACAGATAGTAGGGGCGTGACTTTTTAACTTCTGCCTTATGGGAAAACTGTTTATTGTTCTGTCAAACTCTGCAGGTCTCAAATTCGAGTCACCTCACCCTAGTGTGCCTTGCTCTTGGATTCTGTCCTGGAGGCAACAGCTTATCTCCCCCAGCAGCTTAGCTATTGGCTCAGCAGCACTCACCATTCACAAGACTGGGCTAAACAGCTACACTGAAACTGCCAGAGGATTAGAGATTGGGGTCTCATTTGGAGAAGTCATTGTATGGGGTCCTCTGTCCATCAGGAAAGCAAAGGAAAGAGGGCTTACAATGCTGACATTCCACTGGAGTGGACCACAGTCAAGGAGTTTATTTGGTGGCTTGTCTTCACCCTGCAGTTGTGGCCCAGAGCTACTGCTATGACTGGCTTCCTCCAACTCCGTTCACAGGTTTTCTTTCTCAGTGGCTTGAATACATTAGAAGAACAAGACTTGCTGTTGAAGTGGAAGGCTTCCCTTAACTCTGCAGATAAACTTTCACCAAGGCCAACTTCTATAGGGAAGTTTAAATACTTACTTCACACAGACAACACAGTCTTAAACAGATAGTATTTTAATTGTCCTGAGTTCATCTTATCCTAAAATCTGGTCTCTAGTAAATGAGGGAGAGCAAAATAAGAAAAGAATGAACAGCTACACCTGCAAATGAGAATAGCCAAAGACCTCGGAGGATGTGTCAGCTGCCGATCTCCTTTGGATCTTTAAACACTTAGGAGAAGTGCAGCGGGATTACAGAGCCCGTGTCCAGAGTGCTGGTGCAACGTAAACATAATCAAGTGACAAGGGATCGCATTATGGAATGGTGGTGAACTGTTCTTACTACAGGAAGATTATCTATGAAAACAATGAATTCCTTGTGATACAGGGAACAGGAACACAGACATCCATAGGCACTGAAAAGCTGATGCCCTGTATTTAACAACATTCATACTTCATTCATTTCAGGCAGGAATTTAGATTTCAATACAGCAGTGCTCACTCTATAGTTTACCATTATAGGTGTTTCTTGCTACCATAAACCTTTCTTAACAGTTGAGCTTAGCATGTTGCCCTGGTCTCTCAAAGGCAAGAGTGCCGTGTGGGATGGGAAGCTGTTTTGAAAAGCCTAAGTGTAGAATCTGCAGGACAAACACTTCTGCTTTTGACAAACTGTCCTAGCAGAAAAGAGTTTCTAGCTCTTTCGTGTGTTTTCTCCGCTGTCTGGAATTCACTAAGGTCCTAAGGTGTTCATAACACTTAGAATATACAAAATGGGCCACATCTTAAAAATCGCACACAGGCATGCACCAGGCACTTGGGCTTTTTCACCTCTCCCCCCACCAAAGGCTAATTTAAAAAGCAAACACCTGAGAGTTCTAAATTAAGCAAACCAGCGCTGAGTTAAGTCACTTCAAACACGAAGAACTATCTGCCTGACTGAACCTTCAAAGAACACAGAAACCCCGGGTAGAGAGACCTCATACCTATATTTCATGCCAGTCTGCTTTGCGGTGGACTCTTTGAGAGAAATGTGGTGCTGAGGGGTGAAGGTCCCCAGGCTGCGAGCGATGATAGCGACAGTGCGGAATTTGGCCCGGGCTGCGTTCACCACATTGGGGGCGGTGGAGCTCTGCTTGCTCAGAAGTCGGTCCTCACCATTTCGACTCTTCAAATTGTGCTCTGTGCAGGCTATGGAGACTTGCATTGCTTCCCAGGACAGCGCAAGGTCCTCTCAGAACCCCACAGCACAGGCGGTCGGCAGAGGGTGAGCAATTGGGGGGATTTCGGCTGTCCTTTAACCCCTCTTGTCCCCCTTCTTGGATGCCTTCAGAGGAGTCCCAGCAGCTGACTTCAGAACCCACACAGTGATAGGAGAGGCTGAGGTGTAGGACAGAGTCCCTGGGACCCAAAGAAGTAAACAGCCAAGCTGGAAGTTGTCTCAGCAGCTGGAGCGCGTATCAGCCTCCCCGATCTTCCCAGGCTGTGATCTCGGCCGATTAAACAGCCAGATCCATGTGGTCAGGAGGCTGGTGCAGAAGCCTAGAGCTGAGCATTCATGGTGACTGCACACAGCCCTGCCTGGAGCCAGTCCGAGGTGCCTGAATGCAGAGGGCTGGTTTCTGGGCGCTGGCTCAAAGCAACGCAGGCATACCGCAAGATGCGCTGCCAGCACCCTCTGGATCTCAGGCAGGAGGCTCAACTGGAGAGGAGCATCCCAAGAAGCAGCTAACAGCAAGCAGGGCCCCGCGGACCCGTGGTCTCCATCCACTCCGCCTGTCAATTACCTCCCTCCCGTGCTTCGGAGGATGCGGAGGTGGAGGCTTCTCAAGACCCCTCCCCACTCATCCTCCGGGCAAAAGCTGGGTCTCCAGAGCCAGCACTTACTTGGTTGGCGACTGCATAAAAGAGCTAGGAGGTCCCTTTAAGGAGCGCCTTGCCTTTGTGTGCAGTGGGAAGGAAAGATCACTGTGACCACTCCTTACTGGAACAGGACTGGGAGGGCTGTTCCATCAGGGGGCTCTGCCTAGATGCCACCAAAATCTTGCTGCAGCACAAGAGTTGAGATGAGGGAAGGCTGAGTGGGGTGCTCCTAGAACAGCACGCTACTGATTAACACGTGAATACTCTTCTGACTTGCTAGAACACAGCTTGGAATTCAGCTATTAGCCTTGTCAGGGTTCATATTCCCTCTGCATGTTGCTTTTTATGCAGATAAGTTAGAAGTTTCCTGAAAAGCCACAGTGCAGTCTAGATGGAGTGGGGTCTGCTAACTTACTGCAAATTTATTTAGAATACCACAAGTAGAGACCCACACTGGAGGGGACAGGTGCAACGGGGGAGAAGAAGGTCAGCAACATTACCCAGAAGGGTCGACATAGTAGCAGGATCCATACATACTGTCATGGCCACGGACAGCAAGAAGTTCTGTGAGCTGAGCTTGAACCCACATGAAATTCGTTATCTTGTCTGGCTGGATGTCCCATTCAGAGCAACTGCCCAAGAAACATGCTCAGACCAAACTATCAATTAGTTGATAATTTATCTCTTCATTTGAAATATGTGAGAAATAACGCCTCCTGTGGATTATTTTCCCCTAAAGCTTCTTTCTAAATGTGATTCCTAACAGACCTCACTGTCAAGGAAGGAAACAACAAACGCTATTTGTGAATCCATCTCTGTTCTTGGCAATAGAGATCAATATAGAGGGAAATTTAGAAAGCTCTGTCTCAGTTGTCAAGGAACGGGTAATCTGTGTGGGAAGGACAAAGCACTCTTGTCTTCAGAGACTTTGTTGAAAATCACACTCTACATGTCCACGGGAGTGGTACCCACGGTAAGCACACCAGAAGGAAGAAGGAATGAATTTCAGGAGCCTGGAGAACATTCTTCACTTTGATCCATTACCCTCACTTTAGTAGAGTTCCTGTTAGTATCTGACTCTGCTACTGGGACACATGACGATGTCCAGAGTTTCAGGAAGCACATGAAGACTCGGGCAGCCCTCCCAGAGGTATGGGACTCCCTGGTGGCAGTACAATGGGTCTGATTTGTTTATCAGGCATACAGGGAAGCATGTTCAGGGATGACATACACTGCCTGTATAAATTAATAAATAAAACCGCTGCTCTGGCCACTTCTGCCCGAGCAGATGAAGTTGTAGAAATGAGATCCTCAAGGAGACTCTGTGCTTGTGTTGAGATTCATGCAAGACATCAGGTCAAGACATCCTTGACCCTCCACACTTATTCACTCTTTCCCTTAGAAAATCAATATGTTAATTAAAAGAGGATATTTAGGATGGGTGAGGGTGGAAGGGTTAAGGGGGCACCTCTTCTTTTTTCCCAGGCAGGAATTCTGGGACACACCTTTCTTTAATCTTCATAATAAACAGTGGGCAGAGAGGAAGCAGATCAACCTTTATTTTTGCACACTAAGCCAGCTCATCGGAGATGATCAACGTGAATTGGGAAAGCAGTCAAAATGAGAAGAGGAAGATGTGGGAGGAATCAAAAGAAACAGCTTGTAGAAAAGGAAAGGGGGGTGGGGGGAAGCAGGCTGGGAGCAATGGAGTGAGTTGATGCCCTTCAGGCCTGAGGTGTCAGGAACCAGGGACTTCAATTTGGCCACTGGCTGTTGGGGAGGGGAGGTGGGCAGGGGTTCAACTGAGAGTGCTGCCAGCTTTAAAGGAAGAACTAAGAACTTTGAGGGGGGGAAAGAGGCCTGGACATGTTAATCAATGTGGCCTTTAGATTTGTTAAAAGACTAGCAGAGAAATACCAAAAAGCACAGCCTAGCCTAGATCAGGGAAAAGATAATCTGAATAAGACATACAAGGCAGAGCATTTGTGACCCCCAACAGGACCACACAGAGCGCTTGCTTGGTCTATGGCAGGTACTCACTCTATAAATAATTGAGAGGTGATAAGGAAATAAAGAAGGGGGAGAGAGGAAGGTAGATTGGATGGGGAGATGTCGTTTCCTGGATAAACTCCATTCTTTAAAAACAACTACCAAAGAAAATCCTGTGCATTTACTTTGAAGCTCAGCCAGTGTACTGAAAAGGAGTGAATGGCAGGCCCACATTTTTTTCTGCTCCTCTCCAGTGTGATCTAGTGTCCAAGCCTTTGGGACGTGCCTCACAGAGAATCAAAGATCTGAGGCCAGAAGATGCTCACAGTGCAGGTTTCTTTCTTGCTGACCACAGTGAGCCTTTCATCTCTGACACCACACAGGCATTCTGACAGGCAACCCCACAGCTTCCCCAGATATCCTCACCCTTTCCAGCAGTAAGGGAGCAGTCAATCTCATGAGCCTGGAAATCAGATAACAGTTGGCTGGAGAATGTCCATTCCTAATAAGTTTGCTAACAGGCCACATGCTAATTAAGCTAGGGAAATTAGACTTGGAATGTGTATCTCTTCACTGTCACACAACAAGAGTTAGAGGAGTTCTCACTATGAGAATTTCAGGCTTAAATAGACATACAAACCTGCACATAGATTTACATAGACACACATATGTATACATATATAACACACATACACATATGTGTATGTGTATATATACCAATAGTTATATATATAGTTATAGTTTACTTATAATTATAGTTGTAGGCTAGATTATCTCATCCAAAACTTCATGTATTGGGGTCCTGGTCTCTCCCCAGTATCACAGAATGTGAGTATATTTGGAGACAGTCTTTAAAGACATAACAAGTGTAATGAGGCCATAAGTATGAGCACTAACCTAATATGACACATGTCCTTATAATAAGGACCAGGGCCAGACATGTGAAGACACAGAACAGAGGGCCATCTACCAGCCCAGGCAGAGTCCTCAGAAGAGCCCAAGCTTGCTACTTTGATCTCAGAGTTACAGTCTGTAGAACTAAGAGAAAAATTTTTTTTCTCTTGTAGCTGTTCAACTTTTAGTACGTTGTTGTGTACAGGTAGAAAATATAATTTATATCTATAATATTCTTCATAAAAAACTATTGGCGCATACTAACATATAAGCTTCTAAAGATCATTATTAGTCATGACAAATATCTTTAGATATACTTCACACATCCAAAGCTGTTAAGAATGGTCTATAGGAGGATGATGAGTTCTAGCCAGCCCGAGTGACACAGCACAACTCTGTCATAAAACCCAAAAGACAGACAACAATCTACAGATGGGAAGCGATGGAGAGAACACCACAGCAGTAGACAAAGCCCACCTGTACTGACAAAGTTTCACCTCACCTGTAACTTAGGAGTAAGCTGTAGCTTTCTCTCACTCCTTTCCCTCAGCTGAAGCATTTGCAGGGGTGTGGTGTGTGTGTGTGTGTGTGTGTGTGTGTGTGTGTGTGTGTGTGTATAACTTTATTTTGAAGACCTTTTGGTGTTTGTGTTTTGTAGATGTCATGACTATATCCCTAAAGTCATATAGCACAAGACCAAATTATTGCATACTCTTTAGTTTGGCCAAGATCTCAGTGGATTCCTATTTATTACCTAGTAGTAGAGTTTTAGCATTAATATCAACCATATTGGGTCTTGGTGACAGCGCTATTTAAATGCAGATGACAGGATGTAAAATTTGTATCCCAGGGCTTTTTGTTTTCATAGTCATCTCCGTGTTGGGACCCCAGGGGCAGGGGGAATTGATAACAGATGTGTTGCAACAGAGTTGCAGCTTAGCATGAAGCTCCTTCTTCCTCTGCTTCTTCCCTTTCCTTTGCTACTGTAGAGGATGCTTACATTCTTGGAACCTTGGTTCCCTCACAGAGACATAGTGCCATAAGAGTGTGGCTCTCCAGAGGAGCCATCCAATATGAGCTGCATTCTCTGATTGAGGAAGCATGAGATGCAAAGAAGGTAAACACATTCAAGATGACTCTGGAAGAGTTGGGATGTAACTGAGGAAGCCTTCCTCTGGATGTTTGGTTCTTGACTGCTATGCATATTGCTTTTCACTTCAGAAGGACTTCACACACACTCTCCTTTGAACACAGCTTAAAAAGAAATCCAATTACCATCATGAGTGCTAGACATGAAATCAATTTAGAAAGTCTAAATATCAACTTAAAAAAATACTTCATGACTTTTTATTCTTATCCTATTGCTGTAAAAATTTCCCAATTACACAGAAAATTTTTGGTTTATTCAATTTCTTGCCAGTGAAGTTAGAACCATTTTTTTTTTACTGGTTTCGATTACAACTTATGGTTTATATTCCATTTGAAAGCACAGCCAGCAGGAGCCAGG